CGGAAAAGCATTTTGGTGCTCTCCGTTAACACTGTGTACCAACTTGACCCCAGAAAAAAAGCACTTCTGCTGATAGCTCAAAGCCCATTGCTTGTAGAGAGCACCCAGATCTTTCAACCTTGTCCCAGTCAAACGTCCCTTCATGATGTGCCTGCATCCCGAAACACACACGTTAACGTGTCTTTGCACAGCAACTTTGAGGTACCCTACAGGGAATCCAGTGCTCCTCCCTTGGATCCACTGACAGCCGGTAACTGCTGCTCTCAGAGCCCTGCTGTCAAGATTGTCCTTGCCACATCCCAGCAGACAGGACCTGCTCGTGGCCGCTGCTATGGGCACCCTGACTCGCAGCACGTCAAACTCGCGTCACGCAGCAGTTTGTGGTTGTGCATTTCCTCTGCTCTGCCACCCACGGTGCCCCGGCCTGAACTGGAGCCTCTGGGTGACCACATGAGGCACCGTTTGGGGCCAAAACTTTGGGACGCAAAAATCAGAGAGACAGGAGGTGCAGCAGGACAAGTTAAGGGCTGCTACCCTCCTTTGCTGTGGAAGATACAAGTGTGGGGGGCAATATTTAAGCACAGGCCAAGCCGATGAAACGTGGCATGCCAAGCACTCCACCCTGCCCAGAGTACAGCTCATGGAGCTCCCAATTCCTCTGGGCGCTGAATTCCTCAGCCGTACAGCACCGACTCCTGCACTGAATCCATCAGGCATGGATTCAGCTGGCTGCCGGCAGGGGAAGGCAACCTGGCAAAAGATGGTACAGGGAGGAGGGCAGGCAAGCAACAACTCATTGCAATAGTAATTACAGGCTGTTTATCTGCTTGACAAAGGTCACCCACTGACTGCAAGTCAGACAAATTAAGGCTCAGTAGGGCTGGGCTGGGCAATGACAGCCCTCCCCACCTCTTTTGTTTTAATGATTTCCAGCATTATTTCTTGAAACCCATTTGGCACCTTAGATCACAGATTGCTTCTCCTTTTAACTCTTACAACAGAGCTGGGAGACAGCACAGAGCATTAAAAGCATGCTTCCTTTTCATGATAACATCTTTTCTTTTAATTTATACCACAGCAGTGTCTGCACACCCCAGCTTAAGCCTGAAAACCATGCATTTCTAAGGCAGTGCTCCCCTTGGCAAAATTATCATCTTTCCCATCACGTTACCCCCTTCAGTGTGTCAGTATGAGCTGATCCAGGTTAAAAATAACCCCAGATTCCTCATACTGTACACAAGGCTGCAGTTGCACAACCCCCTTGCAACGCTTATCACCTCATCAGCAGTCTGGGTGCCATGGCCGGGCGGGAGGCGGCAGGAACCCTTCCTGGTGAGTCAGGGAGATGGCAGGAGGACACACCTAGCACACAAGTGTGCTGGCACTGCCTGCAAGGAGAGCGTTGCAAGATCTGCTCACAGCTTGCTGCACATGGCTGGTGCCAGGAGACCTCCGCGTGAAGCACCCTGGGGAAAGAAGGCTGAGCAGCCATCGCGGTAGGTATCAACCACGGTCATATTGACTTGGCCTAAATTCCACCTACATCTCTGCAACAAGATACCCCTGTTAGCTGCTTCAAAATATTCATCTGTAGGCAAAATCTAAGCCACATCATGTTTCATGCTGTCACGTAACTCAGACTAAAACAAAACAGGATTAAGCATGACTTGCTTGTCATTTCTAGACATTGCAAATAAACATACAATACTTATTAGCTTAAGAAAAAAAAAATCCCACTTTTGCCCTCATACCTTGTGCCTCAAATTCAGCTCGAGAGCACGGAGCATACCATAGCACAAAAGATACTGCATTAGTACCAGTTTAGTTGAGCTGTAGCTCTTCCGCTGCAGCACATTTATTTATAAAACAACCAAACAAAAAATATGAAATCATCGATTCAAAGGAATCTGTAATAAATATTTGCTTTCCTCCGAGGTGTTCAGACACAGTACAATACACCAATTAGAGCAGGTAAGAGATGTAAGCTTAGTTTAGCTGCTGCGAAACCAAAGAAAGCTACATAAGATCATATGCGTGTAATCACACTCTAGTAATAATTGGTATATGACAGTAAATGCTTTAAATACACTATTTTACAAAATAGTTTGGCTTATGGTTCATTTGTTTCCCTTTAAGACTGCTGATGCTCTCATCCAGGACTCAGAAAACGTCCCCTTGGAAATAAAACATGCCTTGGGAACACTGTCTTTCTGGTATTTCCTCGGAGCAGGGAGCTTGTCCCCTCTCGGGTTCCTCTTGGCAAATGCAGTGCAGAAGGACGTGTGTGTCCGCGAGATGACTCGTGCGGGCCCTGCAGAGCGCCCCAGCGTCCCGGACTCCCCAGGTTTAGGCCAGGGCAGTGCCCACACTGGGTGTCCCCATCGGGAGCCCCGGTGGCCCCGCTGCTGGCTCCTGACTCACCGCTTGGCCCCAGGATCCCCAGCCTTTCCTCCCACGCGTCCGCAGGTGCCCCGAAGCACCGGGAGCAGCTCCGGGGAGGCAGCAGCGAGCAGAGGGCTGCCACGGCTCACCTGCCCTGCGGCCTGTCCCCAAGGCCACCAGCAAAGAGCCTGCCCAGAGTGTCGCAGCCAGCAGCCTCCAGGCTGTAGCCAGAGGATCCTTCATCCAACGAGTGACAAGTCTGCTCCATGACTCAGGTGCAAGCCAAGTATTTCATACCTAGGACCTTTGCCAGCACAACCACTTGAATCGTTACCTTTATTATGGTGTAATGAGCTGCTGGTTGCTGCAGCACAGGTACTTCACTGAGAAACTGGCTCCAGTGTGTATATGCACAGAACACACATCCTCAGATAATCCATTGAGGGAACACGGGGAGCATTCAGTCCTGAACACGGAGCTACCGTAAAAGCCACAAACTGCTCGAAGTCCTGCTCGTGCTCCTGTTGAGGACTTGGCCAGCTCTGGAGTGTCCTGCAAGTCACTTCAAGGCCCAGCAAAAGAGCAAACTGCAGCGGAACCCCCAACACTCACAGCTGCTTCTTCCATATGGCAACAGGTACAACCATCCACCAAGACAGGGCCGAGTCTGGGACACGCTTTTGGATTATCCTGGCCAAGTCCTTAGGCAAAAGGAACAACATTCAATACCAGAAGCTGTCACAAAACATAAGCTTATCAAACGTCTAATACCAGAGGGGTCCTTGGTTTCAATCAGTGATCTGCTTCCCTTACACAACCAGTTGGTCCTCTATCCTCCTAAAGGTGGTTAGGTTGGCTCATGGATACAGCCACCAAGTTGCACCTTAATGCATGTGAGAAGTGAGTCCCTCAGATAATACAGGGCAAGTAGCTTTAGACTATTTCCCATACAGAAGTAACAGTCCGAGACTCAGTTTTGATCAGATGTTGGTACTCCTGTAGAAGTTAGAGCAAGCGTTAAGAGCTCAAGCAAAGAAGCCAGAATGCTGGGTCTTAGTCAGAGAAGCATATTAATCATCGCTGGAATGATAGAAATACAGATTCATGGTTCTTCTGTGCTGATCCATCCCCTATAGAGTCCTTCTGCAAATGAAGAAAACATTGCCTCCCTCAAACCAAAGATCAGGCCATACAGAAAGCTGTTGATGTAAGATCACAAGAATTTGACCTATAAGCTGAGTGTCTTGTGTGTAGCAGTGGCCAGAGGCAAGTCCTCCAGAGGAAAGTGTAAACGAGAGCAAGTTACAGGAGCATCTGCCTGCAGAAGCCTGTCCCTATCTCGCACCATTTCTTGTTTGGCTTGCAACTTGAAGCATAAGGCTTTATATCCCTTATAAACACTTGTTCTGGCTAATTTAATCACGTAAAATATTTATATGATTCTCTTATTTGAGTACTGCTAAAGTTTAAGCCTCAAAAACAGAGCAAGGCCCAATGCTGGAAGTAAAATGGGACAAAGCACACATTTTCTTCTATTAGTTTTGTATGTGTTTTCCTGACCTTGCAGTATTTTCCTCACACTATGCTGTCAGTCCACTCTTACCTGGATGCCTGATGGTCAGATTAAGGATGCTGTTGATTCAGCCTTGGGAAGAGCTCTCCTTTAGGCTTCTGCAACATGACTCATCCCAAAAGGGGTGAATTCACAGCATTGCAATAGGAAGAAAATATTTTCTAAATGTTTCTTCAGGGGCTATTTGGCAGACTGGTTGCCTTTTCTTTTTGAGATGCTACCTTAAGTTGGGATTCAGCATCTGGTTCTCATCTCACTACAGCTCATTTGATAGACAACTCCAGTGGAGTTACTGCTGATTTACAGTGCTGACCATAACAGCAGAATCAGGCTCCTGCCCACATCTTTTGCTGTATTCCTTACTTTAACAAATAAGCACCTGTTTCCTTGACAAAAAAGATCCTTTTAGAACAGAGGTTACTTCAGATGCATGTCCTGGTGCTGCATCTTTGACCCTTGAATTACATTTCCATTCTGGTTCAGTTAACAGCCTTCAAAAGTATTTCACTAGGAGACCAAATGCAGAAATCTGAGACAGCTCTAAGTTCCCTTAAGATGGCTCAGCAGACAATCTTCAGCAGAGAAGGTGCCTCAAGAACTTTAGATAATGGTTCTTTTAGAAAGTCCACTAAAACCAGTTAAAAACTTCCCCTCCCCTGTAAACCTCACCAGAACTTTGTATGCTATTTTGCCTCTGTTGATCCCTTTTTTAAAAAGTCCTGAGGTTTGGTTTCATTTCATTTATACAGCGCTTAGATGATTTTTTTTATCTGCAGGTTTATATAATGCTTGCTGGTCCATTTCTTAAAGACTTAATTAAAAAGAAGGCTCCCTTTTCCCTCAAACTTATCTTTGTTTTAAAAAAAGAAAAAAAAATCTGTAAGAAGATCAGTGCAGGAAGGTCTAAGACAGATTTGAGTGGGAGGGCTTCTCGCAGTGTGAATAATCAGCAGTGATTGAAAGGAGGCTGCCTGGGAAGGTAGGGAGCTACTCTGCAGCTACGTGGCTGGCGGTGCGCGAGGTGTTTTGGGAGCGCGGGCCGCGCTCACACCGTCTGGAACGCTCGGCTCTGCGCGGGCACCATGACCAGCGTGGCTCCCATCTTCACCAGGTTGCCGTAGTCAACTTTCTTGGGCTCAGCTTCCCTTCCCTCCGGCTCCTTCTGGCTGTACTGCGGGGGAGTGAGATGCGGAGTAGCTTCCGTTGACAAAGTCCGTTGGCTGCGAGAGGCACTGTTGGCTGTCGACCTGGTTGAGGAGGAACCCGAACGCGAGCTCCTGGAACCGGAGGAAGAGGAGCTGGGCTTGACGAGATGAGCTTTGGGCGCCTCTGCATCTTCTCTGCAATCAGAGAGAAAACAGGGTTCATTCAGACACCGTGACAAGAGAAACATTCATATATCGTATGAGGCTAAATAGCAGGTGCAATGAACAGTTGTTCGTTCACATTGGCACATTTGCCCAGCAGGTTGAGCAATGCACCGGGTTGCACAAATTCTGTTCTCCATAACTTCTGCGAGTTGAAATCCCTCTGGTTCTGCAGAGGGATTGATCAAATGGCTTTATAAAAACCTGCTGTGTGTGCCTGCTCTTGCGTGGGGCTACGAGGTCTGGGGAGTGAGTGCAAAGAGCTCAGATACAACCGTGAGCGCTGTAATCCTTTCCCATAATGACACAGCACTTGCCCAGGACTAGTAGAGACCAGTTCTACTAGTAGAAATGGGAGGAGGAAGAGAAATGCAAGAACTGGGCCCAGAGAAAAGGGGTGGAGGGAACAACTGATGCAAGAATAGGCTGAAGCTATGACTGCAAATAAAATAAGGAAGGAAACCTGGCTGGTTAGAAAAGCCCCCCCACTTCAAAAGAGTTATGCTGGTTACATATGCAACCAGAGCAGTCAGCTGCTGAATGGATTACAGAGATTCTTGCTCAGCGGTACATGGGTGTCACGCGAGGACAAGCAGTCCTTCACAAATAGAAACGAGGATGCAACAGCGCAGCAGGGTCCTTCAGGGTCAGGAGCCTCTAGCCTCTTTCCTCATTCTTGGAAACATAGTTTTCTTTCGAGCGCTTTCCCTCCTGGGAAGTTTGGGCTCCGCTGGCTGGAGAGCAGCCTCGGCAGCAGAGCGCGCGTGGGCATTCCCGCGTGGGGCAAGGCCTCCGCGCTGCGCAGCCCCAGGGGATTTGCAGCCCCAGTAAATCCAGAAGTGCAGTTGTTCGGAAGACTCAAGAAAGACCGAGAACCTGCCCGCCTCGCCGTTCCGGACATCGGACTATAGAAAACAGCCATCTTAGAGAAAAAACATGGACAAATGCCTTAAGTTCAGTACTGCAAAGGGCTAAGAAAATGCGTAACAATGATTAAAACTGCAAGCAGGAAAAGAAAAATGTTTTCAATTGCATTTCACATGTGGGGTGTTTTTTTTGGCGGGGGGGGGGGGGGTGTTAATGCTATTCTTGCCCTGGAAAGTGCCATTTCATCTATTTTTGTCTACAGAAAAGTAATTCTTCCAGTCAAGATATTGATCAGCAACAGTTCAGGGCAACTTTGCAAGTTTTTTAGAACACCCTCTGCAGACACTTGTGCCTGGGTTACTTAAACCCGTAGTGAAGGAGTGTGTTACTTAGTATCATGCCGAGTCTATGTGAAAGTAAGAGAAGGGAAGGTGGGAGGTGGTGGATGCAATAAAAAGTGTTACCTGATTTCATTTGGGGCCTCCTCCTCTTCATATCTCTTTTTCTCTTTCCTCCTTATCATCAGCCTCACCACCAGGAGAAGAAGGCAAAGCCCCACCACCACTCCACAAACTGCTCCAGCAATCATGCCAATATTCTGTGCCTCTGTTGTCCAGAAAACACACACCTATATTAATAGATCAACCCTCACCATGGGCCATATATTCAGATTAAAGCTCACTCCACAGAATTTCTGCCACTGGGTCTAAACCAAAACAGCATGCCCTCCTGCAGAGGTTGAACTGGTTTATCTTAAGGTATTGCTAAAACGGAGCAGACACCAACACCGAGAAGAATATGTAGCTCTCCAAGGGTGGGATCACAAGTGCTGTGCCTTCTAGCTGTGTGCCAGAAGTTAAATGCCAAGGAGGAACTCTCTCACACAGAGCCACAGAAAGCAGAAGTAACAAGACCAGGCAATCCACATCTGAAGCAAGGCAGCAAGCAGTGTCCTAGAGGCAGAAGTGTCTCTCAAGCATGAATATTTCCCCATGAATATTGTTTTCCCCTCCTCATCCTGAAACTATTACCATCCACTTACAAAATGAATTATTCAACTGGGGAAAAAGTGACTTGAGGGGAGAGAAGAGGAAGAAAGGAAGACCATACTGCATAAGTGCAGGGCATTATTCATCCAAAACAAGGTTTACGAGGCCTAACTTGCTAATTCCTATGAGCCCTTGGTCGCTTCCCTAGAAAACCTTCTTTTGATAAAAAGAAGGCGGTTAAGTTGGATTTGTCTGGAATTTGTTTCCCGAAGACTTGTCCCTGCAGACTACATAGCAATTCTGGGTGAGGTTTAAACCAATTCAGTTCAAGCACCATAAAAGCTGCTCAAAAGCTTTCATTTCAACGCCTGAGGGGAACACACTTTCCTTGCCACATGATCCTATTGCAGTTATTTCATTCCTGGTTGGGCAGACAAATTCCAAAGTCGGGGAACCTTCACAACAGAGACTGCTCGATTAGCAGCCCTTTATCACAGCAGTTCCATCTCCTGCGACCTGACCCGACAGCTGCACCTAAAGAACAGGCTAAACTGTATTCCTGGTATTTGTCATTAGCACCAGTGCTCAACCCCACCCTTTTCCTTGTACGCATATGCAAACGCACTGGCGTGTGGACACATACACCCTCTTGATGCAACTAACCATGCAGGACATTGTAAACTCCAGTGTTTGCACTGTAATTTATTAGACATGTTAAAAACAAATTCTGTCCAGAGTAACTGTATATTTTGCACATGATTTTTCATTTAAGACAGCATTTTGCAGGCTACCTTTAGTTAGTTTACTACCTCAGGTAGAAGCGAATTTGGCATTGCAGTGATGGACTACCTACTGAGATTTTATACTTGACAAGAATTTATCATGCAGTCACGGTATAAGTACCCTTAAAGTCTCCGCAAACTCTGTGGCTCAAGTTTTTATTTATTTATTTATTTTCCTCCCTAGAACTCCATTAGTTATCCTGAAGAAACAAAATTTCCAACAGACCAAAGTGTTTGAGCCTGATGAAGGTATTTGGCACTCTACATGATTCTGGGAGATGCTGGGCAAAGCATGAGGGCATTAAAGAACTGCTTCACGTAATTCCAGCATGGAAGAGCAAACATGCAGCACAGAATTTGTCAGCATAGACAGGGCATGTGTGCAGCAATGCTGCTCAGTGCTGCAAATACTAGTTATACACTGATACTCACGCTGCACTGTCACCTGAACAACACAGCTTTCTTGTCCAGCCTCATTGGTGGCAACGCATTGGTATAAGCCTGTACTCATCTGTGTGAGATTTTTGAGTAAGACTTGCCCAGGATTAGATATATCTGAAACAGAAAAGCAGCAAGATCAACCACAGTTTTAAACAAGGAAGCTATAAAGTATGGTAAAAAGGCACAGAACTTTGACACAGAGAGATTGAATTACCAAATCAAATCAGCTCAAGATTGGCCTCACAAAAGACCATTTGTCAACCCTCAGTAAAATAACACACACTACACTGCCTTGTTATGGGACATCACCCAGCTGCAGAAGCGAGGAGCACTGGCACACCACTGCTATCGCTGCCACTACATGCTCCCCGTTTACGGCATAGGCAGACGACTTCCAGCCTCAGGACTCGGTGGAGTTCAATGTGTTTGCTTACAGCTTTCCTGAGAGTACTCTAAGGAGAGGTGACCTTACTTACTGACTCTGGATGTAGGTGGGAGATGTTCAGTTCTCTCTTCATCCTCACTTAAGCGCTGCCATCGGTAGGAGATGGGTGCAGTGCCAGATCCAGAACGACACTGCAAGGAAAGGTCCTTTCCTTCCAGCAGCTCCCCTTCTAGCCAGCATTTGGGCTTGGAAGGCTTCTCTGGAAGGAACAGAACACAGATTGTGCAGATGCCACAAGCCATTATCTTAGTGGACAACACTTGATCTGTCAAGAGAACATGTATCAACAGCAGCTTGAGAGCTTGCTCCTCCGGAGAGGATGAGCAGCAAACAGGGATGCTTGCTAACACACTTGAACTGCAGCTTGGTGCAGTTTCCTAGCCTAAGCAGCAGTGCTGGCTGGCCCACAGACATGGAAATGCTACCCTGTGCTTTGGGGCAGTTAGCATCATGAATCCCGTGTAGCTTCATCCTTGCACTGCTTTAGGTACCGCCTAGAGAACATCGTCTCCCACCTCCTTCCTCCACTCCTTCTCCTCCTCACAGTATCTGGCAGGACACAACAGTTCTCTGGGAGGATGGCATATGTGCCCAAAGGCAACCAAACTGAATTCAAGGAAGGGGAACAATGCCAGCAGTTTACAGCTCAGCTCTGACTCAGTCCACCTTGCAATCCTGGAAGATGGACGTAAAATTCTCAGTGAGATCTGGGCAGGGTGAACACCACCTAAGCTAGAGTATCATCCTAAATTGTCATGAGATCATAGGTGTCATTTGGAAAATGTTTTATACGATTTTACAACTGACTATGTTGGCCTCTAAACAGTTCTTTAAGCTCTTCCTGTGTCTTGTCCTTTGCCAAAAAATGCAAAGACAGACATGGAGCTGGTCAGTGAAATCCGATCATGAAGCATCTTTGTGTATTTATACCCTGCTGAAATAAATCTGCCTCCCGGACATTAGTCTAGTGTTTTTTCTTTTTTTCCTTTGGAAGAACAGCAAAATGACCTTACCTATAACCTTCAGGGTGATGCGAGCCCATTCGTATTGCCCGGCATTTTTAACTTTACAGATGTACTTTCCTGCATCACTTGACTGCAGAGATATGATTTGCAAAGAGGCATCTCCAGCAAGGAAGTTGGAAGTGAAAGAAACACGGCCTTTCTGTTCTTCATTCAGGTCATCATAAACGTGCCCTCCAGAGTAAGTGATTACCTGACAAGCCGAGACAGACACTCATCAACCAGTTATTCTGTTACTTGTAACACAAAGAGCAAAAAAAAAAAAAATATATATCTCTCAAAGCATTTCCAGAAACCGGGGGCTAAGGTTTTTGCAGGGCAAAGTGACTCAGCTAGGGTCATACATGAAGCCTGAAGCAGAGTAAAAAATTAAACCTGGATTTCATGGCAGAGACTCACCCAAACAGTATTTGCACTGCAGGCTTGTATTGAAGTATTTGTGCTTGTATCAATATCCTGGTATGAACATTAGCTGATGGCATAACATACAAAAGCAGCCTGCAGTCTTGGCTGATTGGAGAAAATTCAAGTTATCCCACGTCTGATTTTTAAGGACATAAAGCTTTTTATCCCCCCTCTCATAAGCAGCTATTTCAAAAATTGCATGTATGAAAACATGGGACTATCTGAAAAGTTTAAGGGCTATTTTAAGGTTAATCCAACAAGATGACCAACACTGGCATAAAGCAGACCTTATTATCAGTGCCTGCTTCATTATAAGACACATTCATATCAAATAAGTTTGTGCCTCCCATTCCTTTAAGTCAATTATGTCTCCTAAGCCTTAGTTATTCCCACATTATTACTTCCAAAGCAGAATGTAGAAGGCTCTACAGATTAATGACTGTTCTTCAAGTCAAAATAAAAATAAGGGCATTTTCTCAGCCGATGCAAGCCACAGCTCCAGAGAACCTACCGCTTTTTGTACTGTTTCCGAAACGTGCAGCAGCCACTCGATATCCAAGCTTCCTTGCTCCAGCAGGCCCAGGCGGTGGTGACAGGGCAAAGTCACGTTTTCCTCAGCCACTCTCTTGAATTCCGTCTGAGCTTCAGCTATCCAAACCGAGCAGGAAGCTGGAAGACAGATGCTGGCAATCAGAGGACAAGATAAAGGATTTACCTCTGCCGTGACAAACCAAGCTGGCTTAGATTTCGCTGGATTCTTCGTTTGCTTCACAGCATAAAAAAAACCCAACAGCTTGACTTCATGGACAGATTGCAGCTGATCCAAAATGACATCTATATGTATACAGGGAGTGAGTTTCACACTAGTATTTAAGCATGTAAAACAGATGGCTTCACACTCCAGAGCTGTCAATAGCGAAATCGCACAAGCCTTTCGTTAACCTTCATCTGCACAGTGAAATTTGCTTGAAAACCATAAAGGCAGCCTGGAGATTCGCAGACTCTATGCACACACCTATATCCTCCATGAACTCAAGATTCCAGATGACTTGTTCACTTTTGCCTTCACTTTTTGGCTACCCTCTTTCATGAATATCATTTGAACCCGGGACACTTCCAAGGGCCATGCGCTTAGTTCCCATATCCGTGTGACAAAGCTTGGAGCCTTGTCCCTAGTCCTGGAGATCCCTCTTTACGTATGTTTCAACAGTGGAAATAAGAGACCAGATCAGAAACAAAAAGCTTAACCTTAAAAGCACAGCGTAAGTAGAGTAGAAATGTCTTTGAACAGCAACATAAAAAAGCAGAAGGGGTCACAAACTATTGGCAAAATGGAAAAAATAAAAAGTTTTTCCAGGTTGAACCACTAGAGGGAATCAGAGCCTTATAAAAGCTACCAAAAGGCAGAAAAATGACACCAGAAGGGACACTTCTGAGTTTCTGCTGTTCCTTCAGGACCAGCCCTGCTTTAAGAAACATCCACCCACTCCCCCTGTCCCATGTTAGGGCAACCATCCCTTAAGTTTTGAGCTTCTGATACTTAAAATCCAGCCTTGTTCAGTATTTCTATAGAAGGCACCAACACGTGCATACCCACTTACAAAAACACTTAGAAATACACCAGGTGGAGCGCTGCAAAGGATTAAACTCTCCTCCCCTACACAGATCTCCACATGAATCGATGAGCCTGAAAGCTTCTTTTCAGCCACATTAGCTGCATTGTTTAAAAGGAAAATTAATCCAGTTTGGGCCTAGTGAAGCCAGTACTAAAGTGCCATCTGCCAAATACAATTAGACACTTTGTCTAAAAAGGAAGGCCTGCTTCCTCCTGCAGCCTGCATTGCTGGGGGCTCCCTTCATTAACACACTGACACGCGCTAGAGGGACTGATCAATGAGCTTAATTGAACGGCCCACTACAGCAACTGCAGCTTTTTCCCAAATCCTGTGCCAGTTGCAGATACCTCTTGCAGGGAACCCTTTGGAGAACAAGCATCTTCTCTGCTCATTAAACCCCTCACTCAGGAACCCGAGTTGCATTTTGAGGCAACACAGGAGCATCGTTTTGCTGCCCCTGTGGCTTAGATACAGCAGATACACTCACATCCTGAGCACACACGTTTGCTAGCTTGGACAAGCAGCTGGTTGTGCTGTGCCCCACGGGCCCTGCACCTTCTCCCCAGGGGATCTGCAGCCACACGAGGGCAGAGCCTGTGCAGAGAGCAGCACCCAGCACCACTGCATCAGCATCACCTCAGACCAGAGCTCCTCTTCCCCAAGCCTCCAAGGGTCCTCAGCAATGTGCTACATTAGCAGGCTGCATGGGCCTTGCCCCAAAAACCACTCCTGGAGCCCCTCTTCCCCTTGCACATCCTGTGTGGCATCTCTTTTACAGCTTGGGAACTGCTTCTCCCTTTACTCAGCCGGAGCTCCGATTCGCTTTTACTGCGAGGTCAGCTCAGGAACCGCTTTTCCCTTTACTCAGCCGGAGCTCCGATTCGGTCCCATGACTCCGGGGCTTGGTTTTCCCTGGAGCAGGACGCCGGGCTCTGCGGCAGCTCCTGCATCCTGTCAGCGTTAGCACAGGGCTGGAAGGATACAGCGTTCGGAGCAGGTCCTGCTGACGCACGCACCCAGGGAGAGCCGAGAGCCGGATTGTTTTATTGTTTCAACATTCGTGCTGTTGTTCACAGGACAAAAGCTCGGCCACCCAAGGCCCCGCAGGCAAGGGAGAAAGTTTGCCCTTTCTTTCCGCACAAGCATTTTCTATTCAAGGATTACTGAGCAGCAGATGTTTAAACACAAACGCTGGCACCCCTAAACAGGGCACCCCAACAGCACAAGGGCAATTTCACCAGGGGAAAGACACAGGACCGACCAGGGCCAACGCATGTGCTCTTATTCACATAACTAATACAAAGCCCATCCAAACCCCAGTATGTACATATGCAAAGGCAGGTACCTATTGAGAACACAAACAGACTGGCAAGACAAACCTACGCACAGAACAGAACCAAAATATGTTGTTGACATTTTTTAATCACTAAACTCATGTGCTAAAAGCTAAGAGCTTCCGATTTAAATCTTTCATTACCTTCAGATGAGTGCTTAAATTAGGGAGCAATGCTAAATATAGATTATACATATTAAATAATGAATTGTGCTATATCACCTACTGACTGCTGGAAGCAGAAGGAATGGCCTAGAAAAGATTGAGAGATCAACACATAAGAAACACGCAGTCAAACTTAGACATGGCCCAAACCACCCACTTCCTGACTAATTTGAGAAAAACTAAAATGGGTCTTGAAATACAGCCTGCAATTTTCCTGTGACTCGATACACCCTGTGTCTTGTTGCACCAGACAAAGAAGATTCCCACAGTTTCCAGGGTTATTTGCAAAAGTCGATTTGTTACCTTAAAAGTTAAGGTCACCATCTTAAGCTCATAAAGTGAGATGTAAACCTCAAATTAACTAATGTTTTAAGTGCTCTACGAGATCAAAACCTTAACAGTAAAAGCTGTTCACCTGTGACTACTGGACATTCGCACGATGTCAGTCGCGGTGCGTATTCACCTGTCCATATTATAGGAACTTCAGGTTTAGGGGCTGTAATATCACCATCTCTTAAAACAAATCCAGGAACAGTATGTGTTATTTAGCTCTTACGCTCCTTGAGCCAGCAACTTTTGAGAAATATGAGTGTAATCCACTAAGTGTAGGGTGACTGCAAGAAACTTTCTACCAACTTGCAATTTGGAAATGCAGCATTTATCTAGTGTTCATACCTCAAATCTGAGCTTACCTACTTCTTCCCTCTACCACTTACATCTACTGACTCTAACACAAGCTGTTTTATGATTCTCTTCTGTTTGTATCTTGATAGCTCTGCTCATATCTGAGGCTTAGTTCGACGAGTTACTAGACACAAGGTCAAAAATGATTTCTGAGAGTACTTTAAAGCATTCTCTAGAGCTTGCAAGCACAGATTTGCTGCTGAGGCAAAGTTGCTTCAATATCAAGGCAAAAATGCCAGATTTACAAATTCTGGTTTCCTATTTTATGCTGCACAGTCTGTAATATTGTATGGACAACTTCCACTTCACCTGGGATAGGTGCTCTTTCTGCTTTTATTCATTTATGTCAAAACATTTCCATGCATCTAAATGTGACAGGAGCACTGAATGGCAAAAGTTGTCAAGGCACATCACATCTTTTATGAAAGAATGAGAACAACCCACTACAGAAAATTTCTTAAACGTTATCAATCATTTTGGTCACTAGGATTTGGGGTTGCCTCCTTGGAATACTCAACTATTTTTCACATATCTCCACATGACCCCAGCAACTGAAAAAAAGTCTTGTAGGAAGGAAGATCTGCTCCCACGGTTCTCTGTTAAATCCACACTCTTCCAGATCCCTGCAGCCTGTTAGCAAACACCTCAGTGTACCTGACCGCTCCATCCTACAGCTGGTGGCAGCTGCGGACTCAACTGCTCCAGTGCCTCAATTCGTTGTGGTCAAAAGCAAAGTTAGAAAATATTTTAAAAATCCTTCTAATTTAGAGCCATAAATAACTAGATACTTGATATTCCTATTCCTATAGAACACCTATCCTACTCAGCAACACAGTAGGAGACAAAGTATTATCTGTCTAAAGTAAATACAGTACGAAGAACATTTAAGATCGGGAAAAAAACAGCACAGTCTGCTGTACTGCAGCTCTGATCCATTCCTCCATGCCAGGAATTTAAGACATTTCACATCTGCTAGCTTGATTTTGCAACAGTTAGTTAGGAAATGATTTACCAAGCTCATTTATACAAAAACAAAAGTCTGTTCCCACTCTAACCAATGTTCATAACAGTGGTAATTATTGCAAAATACTCAGCTTTTGTTCAACAAAAAAATCATCATTTAACATGCCTGAAGAGGCTAACTACTTTTAGAAACAAAAATTCATCATTTTACATGCCTGAAGAGGCTAACTACTTTT